TAAAAATAAAATAAATAATAATAAAAATATTTATATTATTAATATAAATAATAATACAATAATAATGTTAATATTTATAATTATATTATATTATTATTAATAATATTTTATATTAATATTATTAATAATAAAATATTATAAAAATAATATAATAATTATTAGTTTTAATAAGAATAATATAAATTTTATTATTATTATTTATTTTATTAATAATATAAAAAAATATTATTAATTATAATAAAATATTAATATAATAATAATTATTATAATACAATATGGAAAGCAATGAGAGGAAGATTGATGATAATGTAAAACTTATACCTACATATCCAAGTATTCTAAAACTTTATCTAGTCTTCAGGAATTATCTTAGACTTGCTTGAATCTTGAATATTGTTGACTTGAATCATCATCAAAATCATCTATTGGGAATATAGTGACATGTTTCACATTGTCATCAATCTTCCTCTCATTGCTTTCAATCTCCCCCTTTTTTATGATGATCAAGGAAACACCTAAAATGAACTAAAATGCTTGATTCTATATAGTCAGCTCAAGATTAGTACAGTATAGTGTAGCACAAATTAACACAATATATTTAAACTTCCCCTGGATATGTTAATAACAAAGTTCCCCCTAACTCATCTGAGCAAAACTTCTCCTAACTCCCCCTATTTAATTTAGAATTAGGAATGAATTTCATACAGATTTTAATTCATAAAAAAATCTCCCCATTTTTCATTGATAATCATAAAAAAATTATTTCAAGAGAAAAAAATCTCTCCTGTTTCATTGATAAAAAAATATTATAAGAGAAAAAAAATCTCCCCCTGTTTCACACATATTAATATCATCAAAATCTCTCCCTATTTCATTGATAATTATGAAAAATATTGCAATAGAAATTTAGCACAAATTTGCACATAAACTAAGGTAGAAAAGATAATGCATTACAAAGTATCATAGAGAAGAACATCATATTAAGGAGGCAATATCTAGGATACCCAAGACAAATGAAGAGAGAAAGATAGGAGAATAAAATTATTGCAGATATAATGGAATGGAATGAAATGCAGTAGTTTCGCCCAATTGTAGTCTTCTTATTGAGGCAACTTTCAAATTCAAATTCAAATTCAAATTCATTTATATTCCAAATTTCAAATTCAAATTGCAACAAATTTCAAATTTCAAATTCAAAGTCACTCAAATTCCAAATTTCAAATTCCAATTTCAAATTTTTATAAATTCAAATTTTCAAAATTCAAATTTTCAAATTTCTAAGTTGGTTATCAATCAAATTTATGTGATAGATAAGTGCAGATATTCAATGCAGAGGCATGAGAGACAAGAATAAACTTATCTTTGTAATATTTTCCTTTTCATCCAGCTTGTTCCTTTACACCTATTTAGCTCCAATAACCTGCATTGATTTCTTATCCTTGATAATTACTTGCAACATAAATATATAAATCTAGGTACCCTTTAATTATTTTTGGGTCCTTAAGAAGGTTAGTAGAATCACAAATCTCTGCCAAAAGACTAAGGATAAAAGAATAAAATTATGATATAATAATTGATTATCACAACACCTTCAGAATCAATATAATTGATTATGACAAGCAATAAAAAAAATTTCAAAAATTTATAATCTATTAGATGCTCAAACTATCATCTAGACATGTATAAATGCTTTGTTCCTAGATATGCCAAAATGTTTTATGTAATATCTATTTGATGTATGACCTAATTTCATGCAATAAAAAATATGTTGGTTTTCTTTGAAGACGTCTAAATAAGTTTCTTGATGCTCTTAAAATTGGCTTCACATCTGTTTTCTTTGACTCTTTCACAAAAATAGTTTTATGAGGTTCTAGACTTTCTTTGGGTTTGTAACCAAGTCCTGCTTTGCTAGAATCCCCTCTTTGATAACCTAATATAGAATCAAGGATTTTAGAAGATTTTGAAAACTTGTTCATTTTTTTCTCTAACTTAAAAATCTCATTTTCCAAATGATTACAATTTTAACAAGGTTTAGCAACTTCTTTATTTTTAGACATAGTTTTAAATTTCTCAACATCCTTCTTTAAGCACTCATTTTCTTCTTCAAGTAATATTATGCATAAACCTCCAAAGCACAAGTGTGATAAAATTTCGTAACATGACATTTTTCACTATCATAATCAATTATGATGCATCAGAAATGGAAAAACGATTTTCTCTATGTCATAATTGATTATACTGGTAACATAATCGATTATGACAATTTAAATTTGAAAAATATCTGTTTTGAAGAATAAATATTTTTGAATATATCCTGATTTTTATCTACGAAAATATTAATGTCCAACGACCATTTTCTAATGCTATTTTTTCTATTTAATTAAGTTTTGATGGAAAATAAAAAACACACAATTACAGAATTCGAAAATACAATTTACATTCAATCAGTTTTGAGAAAAGACTTATGAGTAAGGCAATAAAGATATTTCACATGTTTCGAGAAAACCCTCTTCTCTATTGCCACAGAGATATTTTACCAAAAGTCTCTTCTCCATTGCCTACTGTTGTGCTTTCATTGTTAATCACACTTGTTCTTGGAGGTTGACATTCTACAAGCTTCTACAATTTGTTGTCTCCATTACCCAAGTGTGACTATTCTTATTTTATTACCTTCAACTTTTATGGACTTAAGTGGTTGATTGTTAAATTTCCTGTTTAGGGTTTAAGTAGTCACTGTTATTTTGTTGTGTTTTTTTTTTTTGGGTTTCTTGTGTGGAAATTGTTCATCCCTTTGATTTGTTCAGGGAGGTGTTTTCATCCTTTGATTTGTTCAGAGGAGGTGTTCATCCCTAGTGTGATTCTAGGGATGTGTTCATCCTTAGTAAGATTTTAAGGAGGTGTTTTCAACCTTTGATTTGTTCAGAAGAGGTGTTCATCCCTAGTGGGATTCTAGGGAGGTATTCATTCTTAGTGAGTTTCTGAGGAGGTGATTGTCTTTTTAATTAGTTTACTTTTTACTAGTTCTTCTGCTGAGTTGATTGTAATTTGTAAACTAAATTTGAAAGATAGTGAATTGGGAGTCACTCTTGTGTTAAGAGTTGACTGGAAACTGGATGTAGGGTTGACTATACCCAAACCAGTATAAATTACTGTGTGTTTTTCTCTTCCTTATACCTCTGTGATAACATCAACTTATTTCCTTCCCCTTATCTCTCTCGGTTATATAGCTTCCGCTATATCTGTTCAAATCGATAATTAAAATTGAATTAATAAATATTAGACATCTTAAAATAAATTTTTAATTTGATATTTATTTTAATTTGTGCATCTATTCACCTCTCTAGATGCCATTTGTCTAACAAATATAATAAAAATAAACTTTTATAATATATATATATATATATATATATATATATATATATATAGTCGTATCACTTAAAATCTAAAAAAAGAAAAACTAAATCATACTATAAAATACGATCTTTTTTTTTTTCTGAATTCATGTTTTATAGCATGACTTATCCATATTGATAAATTTTAAAAACATTACATCACGGTAAAAAAAATCGAAATTGAAGCTCCTAGTTCTATTTTCTATATAGTAGTCTCAATTGACGAGGTTTATTTTTAAGTAGGAGACGCAATTCCAAACAAGCGTTACATTTTTAAACTTGATTTTTGGATAGCTTATTTCTAGCAATATATACTTTCTTTTAGCAATAAGACAGTTGTATTGTTTATGTTATCCAAACTTTTAGGCTTTTTAATCAGTTTTGCTAAAAATTGAGTTGATTCGTTAATTATATATATATATATATATATATATTCTAAAAAGTACTCTTAATAATATATTTATATATTTTAATAATATTACATAAAATAATTTTAATGTTTTTATTTTAATATGCAAATAACTTTTAAAAAAATAGATTAATTCATCTTACCTTATTTTTATCAATTAAATTAAATTATAAATAATTAAAATTCTTATAAATCTATTTTGTAATTATATTTATATTTAGAAATAATTATAACTAATGAAATAAAGGATGATTAACCATCGTTCTAAAACTACCTACCCGGGTCATCTTTACTTTAAAAATTTATTCTGTGGCAAGAAAATGTGGCTTCATATTAGAATATAATAAGAGAACTTTATTTTATATTTTGGAAAGACGTTTGACAATTCAAAGGTTAATCCAAAGCCCAAACTATATTGTAACCAACAAATTGAACTTTTTTAGGTCAATAAAAATTGGCTGGACAATGACTTTTCCACAGACAAGTGGACAAGTAACCATCCACCTACTCGGATAAAAATAAATTGAAAGCAGAGACAGCAAGAGATACTGTTAATCCCACATCTCAAAACGGGGTTAACTATTTTAAGAGTTAAATATATTTTTGGTGCTTGTGTTGTTTCTAAAATTGTTGTCTTTATATTTTAAATTTGATAAATTAATCATTAAAATTAAAAATATTAGTCATTTAAAAAACACATTTTAAAAAAACTATTTTTTTAAGTAATTTTATAACAATAAGAAAATATTAAAATCACATTTAGTCATTTTATTTTTATCAAAGTGAAAAATTATATAATTTAAAAAATTAAATAACCGAATGAATCAATTTAAAAAATAAAAAACAAAAAGGATAAATGCTCTTTATGGTTTTAATTATTTTGTTAAGTGCAAATAATATTTCTTTGATCTTTTCATATTTGTACAAGAGACATGTATGCTATAACTAAACATCGTACACAACGAATGCATGATATCAAACTTCAAACAAAAATTGGGTAAACAAATTGCAGGCTTGCATTCATATGAAAAACTTGCAGTAGCTTTTGGCAGATTACATGCATTACTCTTCCTTCCCAACTCATCAACTGAGTGGGCATTTTATTCTACACTATAATTATGGGATAAAGAAGATGCAACACAGTGTTCTTTCATTTCTTCAAGCATCTACATATATATTTTTAATGGTAGAACATGGGATCATATCTTGGAAGCATCAGCTGTGACTCGGCTAAAGGCGACGGCAGTCTTCGAGCCGGATGGGCGTCCCAAATGCTTGCTGATGAAGTCACCAGCCGACATGAGCTTCCCAAGATCAACGTTGGTTTTCACACCAAGTCCATTTAGCATGTACACCACATCTTCAGTAGCTACATTTCCGGAAGCTCCCTTAGCATATGGACAGCCACCTAGACCAGAAACCGAAGAATCCACAGCACTGATTCCCATCTGTTTTGGTACAAATCATAATGTCTATTAAGAACCTTGTTAAAATGCCAAAGATAAAGTTTAAACTTTGTTATACAAATCTAAATAATATGGAAAACAATTTGTTCATAGATATTAAAGAGGAGCATTAATTATAACTTCAAAAGTCGGCAGAACAGTTAAGAATTTTATTTCATGCGATGGAGATAAAAGGTTTAATAAACTCTATCAATAGACATGCAAATGAACTTTTTATTTACTTGGATGGACACAAGAATATTTGGAAGGGACTGCCCATAAGTGTCATGGAAGTGGACAGCAAGCTTCTCTGCTGGCACAACAGCCATTACGGCCAAAAGCATCGGAACTACAGTTCCTGATCACAACAGAATGAACAAAAAACAACATAAGTACAAAGATCATATTTGAGTAACCAATATAAAGTTTTATTAAAGAATATTCGTCCTCTAGATTAACATATAGCAAAGAGCTACACTTCAATCATGAAAATCTGACATGATTTGACACTATTTACTTTGTTAAAATGCATATCCGACATGGGCTCAGAAAGAAAAAATAAATTGATAACCAGTCAGGACTCAGATCGAGAATGGAGAAAAAGCGTAGAGAAAACAGGTTGCAGAGAGTTAATAAGGGAAGGATGACCATGTTAGATACTTTCATCATGTGTAGAGCTTAAAAGTCATCGTGGTAATGCGGATAGAGGTAAACAAATATTATGATACTGAACATTGTCAAATGAAAAGGACAATTATATTGTGAATTCAAAATTAAAGGATAAGGTATATCACAATCAACACAGCACAAGAAAGATTGAGTAATACTCTGATGTTTAGTAAGTTGTTTGAAGACAAATGCCAAACAAGGGAATGCTATAATGAAGCTGATTTTAGTATGCTCTGTGAATATGAAAAGGCATGGAAGTATGCTTGACGACTTACAATGATGGTCAGATTTTTTTCTGGACAAGAAGGAAGAGAAATAGAGTAAGTAAAGACAACATGCTTGTCATACTTGGAAATTGGAATATAAAAGAAGAAAACAAGGAGATATCAATGTATTACCAAAGAAATTCCTCTATGAAACTTATTGTTATTATTAGTTTTCCAAAGAAGGTTCACAGAATATAACAAAGAAAGTTTTGATTTATGAAGCTTAGGTGATTGAACTAATTACAAGGAGAGACATGGTTTTGGAGTTTAAAAACAATAAATGCGAGATCCAATGAAAGGTTCGATGGTGTGAAATTAATCAACTTGCCAAGCTCTATACTATAACTACAAACAAATGACTATAAAGCAAACTGTTGTAAACTAACGAAAGAAGATTTTAAATCTTCTTTATGATCAGACAAAAGGGAAAAAAAAAAAAACAGGAGCAGTAAATATTCCTAACTTTTGTTCGTTCATACTACTCAGAAAAACCTGTACAAGAATATCGCCAAATGAGAGTAATTCAACAGGAATATTGGATCAAGTATGGATACTTTAGAGTTTTCAAAAAGAAACATATAACTGAATACCTGGAGTACCAACTCCAATTGTGTCCCCGAGAGAGATCTCAAAGCAGCCCATATCGAACAGTGCTTTAGCTACATATGCCACTTTTGATGGAGGGATTGGTCCTTCCACTGGGCATCCAACAACGCATGATACATACCTATGAAATTTCAATACAGAGAAACAGATTGGAATAAGCAAAGCAGATTTTTTTTCTTTTTTGCATTCAATTGATAAGAAAGAGAGCGAAACAAGATCAAACAAAATTCGATCTACAGAACAACATAAAATTGGTATGTTTATTATCCATGCTTCAACTTCAGATTAGAACCATATACGTAAAAAACTGATAAAATCTAAAATACAAAAACAGATTCCCTGGATGACATATAGAAAACACCATCAATGTACAATATAAATTTCTAATTAATTAATAGATACAGGTAACAGTACTACCCAACCCACAAACAAAGAAATTGCAGGGAAATAAAAGCAAATCCATCAGAAAATATCAAAATGGAAAATAAAAAATTTAAGAGCTTTCTGTCTAGAATAAATGCACACTAATAATATATTGAAAAAAAAAAAAAAGGATTGATAGAGACTTAGAATAATGAAGAAACAAAAGCCATACCCTCGAACAGGAATTGAGAGCTCTTTAGCAGCACAAGTAACAGCTCGATAGCGAGCAAGGCTCTCTTCAATGCAACAATTAATGTTTGATTTTGAGAAAGATTCAGAAGCTGATGCAAAAACAGCTACCACTCTAGCGCCAGCTGCTATAGCAGCTTCAAAGCCCTGTAAATGTAACAGATCAGACATCTGAACATAAATCTGCCAACTGAAAGGTTCTAATTACTAGCACCTTTAAATTAGGAGTCAGAACTGGCAATCTAATTCCTCCCAGATTACGAACTGCTTGCATTACTTCCTTTGCATCTGCCAACTGAAAGGTACAGAAACAGATTGGTATTCATGCACGTAAAAGCTCAAATCACACAGTGAAATTTCATGATACTGAAACTGACTTGATGTATTAGCACCTGGAAAAAGTTTGCCACAACAATCATTCATGATAACGGTTGAATATAGAGAAAATAGGGTTTGAAATTAATTTTCCTTGTGTATAAATCACACATAGAGTGGTCTATTTATAGTAGAGAGATATAACTAAAAGAGTAACTGAAAGTAACAGAATAAACAGAAGATATTGTTTGATATTGTGGTTACCACTATCTAACAATATCTTAACAATATCAAATAATATCTAAACAATATCTAACACTCCCCCTCAAGCTGAAGCATACAAATCGTATGTGCCAAGCTTGTTACAAATATAATCAATTCTAGGATCCCGTAAAGATTTAGTAAAAATATCTGCTAACTGATCACTTGAGTTAACAAACTCAGTCTTGATATCTCCAGACATAATCTTTTCTCGAATAAAATGACAGTCAATCTCAATGTGATTGGTCCTCTCATGAAAGACAGGATTAGAACTAATATGAAGAAGCGACTCGATTGTCACACACAAGTGTCATTTGAGTGACATCTCCAAATTGTAACTCTCTAAGCAATTGCTTGAGCCAAACAAGTTCACAGGAAGTCGAGGCCATAGCTCTATATTCCGCTTCTGCACCTGGATCTTGCCACAATACTTTGTTTCTTACTTTTCCATGAGATCAAGTTACCACCAATGGAGACACAATATCCGGATGTAGATCTTCTATCCGAAGGAGATCCTGCCCAATCAAGCATTCGAGTAGCAAACAACTCTTGTATGGTTATTAGAACCATATAACAATCCTTTTCCAGGAGATCCTTTAATATACTTCAAGATACGAATGACTCGCATTCCAATGATCTTCACATGGTGAATTAAGAAATTGACTTACCACACTGATCGCAAAGGAAATGTCGGGACGAGTAATCGTAAGATAATTCAATTTTCCAACCAATCTTTTATACCGCTCAGGATCGATATAGGCTCCCCCTGATTTGGTAGAAGTTTAGTATTGGGATCCATGAGTGTATCAACAGACTTTGAACTCATCAACCCAGTTTCCTCCAAAATATCTATGGCATACTTCCTCTGAGATATAACAATACCATCATTGGATTGTGTCACCTCAATACCCAAGAAATATCTAAGTTTGCCAAGATCTTTGGTCTGAAAATGGTGACAGAGATGTTGTTTCAACTGAGAGATGTCATGGTTGTCACTACCTGTAAGAACAATGTCATCAACATATACTATCAAGTAAACACATCCAGCACTCGAGTGTCGATAAAAGACATAATGATCTGATTCACACCGAGTCATACCAAATTGTTGAACAACCTTGCTAAACTTTCCAAACCAAGCCCTAGGAGACTGTTTTAGGCCATATAGGGATTTGCGAAAACGACATACCATCCCAGAAGACTCCCCCTGAGCAACAAACCCAGGAGGTTGCTCCATATATATTTTTTCTTGCAAATCACCATTGAGGAAATCATTTTTAACATCCAGTTGATAAAGAGGCCATTGTTGAAGAGCAGTCATGGCGATAAATAAATGAACAGAAGCCATCTTTGCCACAGGGGAAAAAGTATCTCCATAATCCAATCCAAAAATTTGAGTATAACCTTTGGCCACAAGACGAGCTTTGAGGCGATCAATAGTACCATCAAGTCCAACTTTGATAGCAAACACTCACCTGCAACCAACAACAGATTTCCCAGACGGTAACGGGACCAATTCCCAAGTTCCACTATTATGAAGAGCACTTAGTTCATCTAACATGGCCTGTCGCCAACCAGGATGGGCTAAAGCTTCACGGACAGTTTTTGGAATGGTCACAGAAGAAATAGAGGAAAGACATGTATAAAAAGGTAATGACAATCGATGATAACTCAAAGCAATATAATGGGGAGAGGAATTACGTGTAGAACGAATACCTTTTCGGACGGCAATGGGAAGGTCGGACTCATGTGTCGGATCCGGAGGAGACAGAGTAGTTGGCACTTGAGTAGAGTCACATGGTGGTGGTTGTGATTGGTTTCGAGAACTATAAATCTGAAGAGGCAGTGGAGAAGAAGCTGACTGCGGAGCAGGAACTAATGGTGAAGAAGACACAGTTAGAGGGTCACAAACAACAGGAACATTAAATGTATTAGGAGTGTTGACAAGATTGGATGGAGACAGAGGTGAAGTTTGACTTTTAAAATAAAGAGACAACTCATCAAAGGTGACATCTATTGACACAAAATAACGGTTAAGAGAAAGAGAAAAACATTTGTATCCTTTTTGTGATATTGTAAACCTTAAGAAAATACATTTATGTGATCTAGGAGAAAGTTTGTCCAGACCAGAACTGAAATTATGAACAAAACATGTAGACCCGAAAACTTTTAGAGGTAAAGGATGAAATGGTTCATGAGGGAATAAAATGGAATGAGATATTTTATTATCTAAAACCGAAGAAGGCATGCGATTAATGAGATAACATGCATTAAGAAGAGCATCACCCCAAAAATGTTGAGGAACATCTCCATGAATTAAAAGTGTGCGAGTTGTTTCAATAAGATATCTATTTTTACGTTCAGCTACACCATTTTGTTGAGGTGTATAAGCACAAGAAGTTTGATGCAAAATACCGTGAGAAGCCATGAATTGTTTAAAAGAATGAGAAAGATATTCACGGTCATTATCACTACGCAAAACTCTAATAGAAACACCGAACTGAGTTTGAATTTCATTAAAAAAAGTTTGAAAGATATGAAATAATTCAGAACGATTTTTCATCAAAAATAACCAAGTGCATCTGGAATAATCATCAATGAAAGTAACAAAGTATTGAAAACCTAAAGTAGACTTAACGTGGCTAGGTCCCCAAATGTCAGAGTGAACCACGACAAAAGGGGACGAAACACCACGTGTGAAACTACGAGGAAAGGAAGTACGACTATGCTTGCCTAATTGACATGACTCACACGCCAAACTAGATAAGTTGGACAAGGCAGGGACAAGTTTCTGTAACTTGGCAAGACTTGGATGACCTAACTGAGCATGAAGAAGAGAGGGAGACTCCATAACCGTACTAACATGTGTAGAGGGACGGAGATAATAAAGACCATGAGACTCACATCCCGTGCCAATCACCTGTTTCGAACTCCGGTCCCGTAAACACACGGAATTGTTGGTAAAAGTAACAACACAATCAAGAGAACGAGTTAGACGACCGATGGACAACAGGTTAAAAGGAGACCCAGGGACATAAAGAACATTATCAATGGTTAAAGAAGGAAAAAGTTTAACCGTTCCAACACCATGAGATGATACTCTAGAGCCATCGACCAGATGTAATGAAGGTAAATGATTAGGAGAGGATAAAGAGGAGAACAAAGATTTGTTACCAGTAATATGATCAGTGGCTCCCGAATAAAAAACCCAAGGACCAGGAGAAAATGATTGGGTCAGACCAGCAAAATATGTATTTGTATGTGTGACAGATATAGTGGAACTAGAAAACTGTTGATCCTTATACCATTCGAGAAATTTGTTGAACATAGCAGACATGTCAGATGCAACAGAAGAAGGAAGATCCCTTGCAGATAAAGGTGGGGAAAGATTTGTCTGAACAACTACAGCATACTGAGGAGGACGACCATGTAATGTATAACACTTGTTAATCTTGTGACCTAGCTTGACACAATATTCACTCTTAGGACGCCCTTTTTCCTGTTTGCGAGGGCGAGCCCGGTCATCACGATGGGATGTCAACACAAAAGAATCATTAACAAAATTGGAAATAGTGGAAGAAGTCATGAAGAGCGGGAGAACAAACCCAAGACTAAACGGTGCAGGAGACAATGGGACGACCAACTCCGATAGTGGTGATCTCAATGGCACGGTGGTCACCTGATCGAGACAAGCAAAATCATATGTCACCGATAAAAAAAAATGAAACTCCGGCGAATTCTCCGACAGCGGCGGACCCGGTGACTGCTCCAGCGGCAGCGGTGACAGTAATGTGAACTAGTACACCAGGTAAGTTCCCAGGAAAGAGAGGTGGGTCACTAATGGACACACTTAAATACCAAGTCTTTCCTTGCCAGAACTTTCCTAAACATGCACTTTCACACTACCAAATAAAATTCAATGACAAAGATAATTCTTTTCTGATGTGGAGGATCAGTTTACCAGCAGCGGTGGGGAGGCTCTAGCAGCGGTGGGGCGGCTCCAACAGTGGACAAAAGGCGGAAAAAAAAAAATTCAAGATAACCTTAAGCTCTAGATACCATGTTGAATATAGAGAAAATAGGGTTTGGAATTAATTTCCCTTGTGTATAAATCACACATAGGGTGGTCTATTTATAGTAGAGAGATACAACTAAAAGAGTAACTGAAAGTAACAGAATAAACAGAAGATATTGTTTGATATTGTGGTTACCAATATCTAACAATATCTTAACAATATCAAATAATATTTAAACAATATCTAACAATATCAATGAGGTTAAATAAATATGGTAAAGCCATTATACCTGCGGGACCCATTTGGGAGAAACAAAACTAGTAGCTTCAATGACAGATAACCCAGAAGATGCCAATCTATGAATTAATTCAATCTTTACATCTGTTGGTACAATGTTTTTCTCATTTTGTAATCCATCCCTTGGACCAACTTCAACTATCTTTACAAACAGTGGTATACCTTTCATAAACTGTATCGCACAATTAAAAGTTGTATGTTACTTACTGGCCAAAGAAATGTGTTCAAAACAACAGACTACACAGAAAGCACAAATGTGTAACATGAAAAAACATAAAGAAGCACAATATAGATAAATAATTTAGTAGTCAGAAAGATATTCTTGGATAAAAAGTACTGCAGCCATTGCATTACCTTATATGCCATATCCTGTACATTTTTGTTAGTGCTCTTTGGACTATACTGGTAATCTGAGGCATAAAATGAATTATCAATCGCTCCAAATTTCATCGAGTTCCTTCCATTGGTCACAGTCTTTTGCTTGAATGAGTCACCTCTCGACAGGTCCCTTGTTTGCATTCTCCATGGAAATGTCTCTGCCGTATACTCTTCATTGTCTTCACTGCACCAAATATAGGCTTCAGTTAATGCTATGAAGTAGGCAGAAATAAGTGAAACAATATATGCATCAGTGTAGACTTGTCGGAAACTACAATTTTTGACTCACTCGCAGCTGTTTGATGTGCTGCAGCTTGGACCTTCAATCCAGCAGTTTCCCATACCCAAATTATCTACTCTGGGACGACAAGCACCGGATGAGAACCTCTGGATTCTATCTATAGTATTCATGCTTGGTAACTTGTCAAGGCCAAGTGGCTCCTCCAAACTTGACATGGTGATCTAGATGATTAAAATGGAACTGGCAAAAGATATTGGGTAAGTACATGCCTCAGGTAAACAATCTTGCTACCATAGAAGGAAATACATATTTTCTTCTGTGTCAGTTTTATTAATCTTCACGCACTGAAATCCTATGACATGTGAGTATCCACAAGTTCAATTCTTAACACACAGCAAATTCCATTCATTAACAGAGTCATTTACTGCAAGTGTGCTATATCATATAAAGGATAATGAAAAAATTGTTGACTTATTGTAAAATTCAATAGTTGAAGAAAAAAAAAGTAATATATCAGTTGTACCTGATTTAGGCCAGACTTGTTTAAGCAGGCAGAAAATGAGGAGGTAAGTGAAAATGGAGTTAAAAAACGTGGTTTACAATTTATTTTGTTCCAAAATTCCAACCTCATTTTCAGCTTACTCAAACAAGGATAGCCTTACCCACAAAAGGCATTATTCGCGAATGGAAGTATGAAACAGACCAACATATCCAAAGGGTAATGTCTCAAAAAAATACAATGGTTCCGCAGCTGAGAGTTCTTAACCCCTCTAACAACCTTATAATGTGCAAATGCAAGAGTTAAACAAAAATGATATCCTCTACTTCAGACTCAAACACCAAAATTTTAACTACAACACAGACATTGTCTCTTTGAGACCAAGAAACTACACTATTCTGTTAATTTATTAAATTGCAATCAATTCCTTTGGTAGAAGACATCAAGAAAATACCTCAATTTCACTTCTCAACATGCTAATTACAATCAACTCCCAAGTCTCATACGAGTTCATAACTAACCAACAAGTAACAAAAAAATGCAAAACTCAGACTCAAAATATCAAACACTAGAACTTCAAACAAAGTTCCAAGAACAAAAAAAATACACAAACAACAAGCAAATTGAATAAATAAACAAGAAAAAAAAATATAAAATTAATCAAACATAATCAATCACTGGAGTTTTAACTATTTTTCTTGTTGGATAATTTTTGTTCACCAAATTCACTTCAGCGAAGAGGGAAACAGGCGAATCAGAAGAAGTAAGCTGACCTGCAACCAAGCAAAGTCGGAAGGAAGAATAGTGACAAGGTAGGGTTTCTGGAAACCCTAGAATTTGGGGGAAATCGAATTTGGTTGTATTTACGAAAAAACCAAGGGAAACGAAACAAGGAGAACAAGAAGAATGACAAGGTGAAGGAAACGTGTGAACGGTTGTTCGGTATTAAAGCTAGTGGTTGGTTGGTGGGAAGGGAAGAATGAGGTCAAAATTTATTTTCAATTTAATATTATTAATTATTTAATTAATTCATTTATATATTTTAGAAGAAAATTGAGTGGTTGCTTGAGTTGAAGGCAGTATTTGAAGTGGAGGATAGAATTGAGACACGCTTGAGAGTACGATTGTGAAAGGTAAGGGGGTTTTGGCGGGTAGTTTTAGTTAAAGAGATATTTTAACTCTATGTTGTATTGTAACGTAGATTAAGTTTGGAAGAGTTTGTTGATAAAATAAAATAAATGATTTTCTTTATTTATTCTTATAAAAATTTCATTCAAAAATGTCTACAATAAAATTTATTTATTTTCTCAATAAAAACTTTTAAATAAATTGATATAAGATAATTTAATTTATTAAAAATTTATTTTTGCTGCTTTTATACTTACTTATTTGTGGAGAAGTTTTAAAAAAATGTTTATTAAAAAAAACTTCTAGACTTAGTTTTATTTTTTGTAAAAATAATTTAAATAGACTCTCAATATGAATGATTAGTATAAGAGAAAAAATATATTTGAACACTTTTTTTCACATTTAATATATTCGAAATTTGGGGATTTATAAAATAGAAAAGCCAGAATACTTTTTTTTTTTATAATATTCGTGTTCGTATCAATGGACTCCCGGCAAGATTTCAATGAACATTCGTAAAACAATTTGATAAAAAGTTAAAAATTAGGATAAAAAAAGAGTAAAGATGAATGAAAAATAAAATAAATTTATTTATTATTTTAATACGATTAATAATGAAAAATTAAAAAATATTAATTAATTTTTTTGTAACATAATGAATGATATTCATATATAATCGATTATGTAAGTATATATTATATAATATTTACTTTTATTATGTCCAACTATTTTAATTTTCCTTGTCTTTCTTTGTATTAGAGAGAGGATGATTTTTTTTCACTTTTGAACATTTTTGCGTTGAAATCCATGAAATCCACGCATGTCTTCGCTTTACATTTTCTATAGGTAGAAACAAATAAGAGCATAATTATTAGCTAGTCAAATCTTACATTACGGAAAATTACTAGATAATCAAGATTAAGTACAAAACGAAAGACTCATTCTAATTCATATAAACAGTTAAATGGATAATTAATATTCATATTAATATTTCTGATATATTATAATTTATCATGGAATAATTGATCACATAATTAATAACAAGAACATTAAAAATTATTTATTTTTATTAAAAAAAATCTTATATAGTTATGTCTAAAATAGTATTTAATGTTATTAATACTTTAATATTATTGAATTATTTATTTGAATTCAAAATATTTTAAATCTATTTGTAATCAAATTTACATATGATTTTTCAATCGTTTTTATTTCCTATTTTACTTTAATTACGTATGATTTATTATTGTAATACATTTTTATTTAACATAATTTTTTATAATGATTTAATCCACATATATGATTATATCCAATAAGTGTGTTATGTTTAGTAAGACTTATTTTTATTGTTCTAAAATATTTTATTATTATTATTATTATTATATATATATATATATATATATATATATTATAAAAAGATAATTATATTTTAAATATACAATTTTCTAACATTTTTACTATTGTTTTAGAATGACTAATATAATGATTGTGAAAAAGTGACGTATTAATATTACAACTATTAGATGATTTTCAAAAGTCTTTTTATAATACGAGAAGTTTGTATTACAATCATGGTTAACAAATGGAACAAAAATTTTGAAATATCTATTGCTAACAAATGATGTAAAATTTGAACTTAAAAATATTTTTTATTCTCCCAAATCTAATAAATTTTATAAGTTTTGAAAATATTAATTGAAATTGAATTGTTACTTGTTAGATAAATGTGAATGTCTAAACACACTCAAGAGGAGGTAGATTGGGTTTGTACATCTTTTGCAAATCTAATAAATTATTTAAAATCTTTTTCTGATAATCACATTTAAAAGAACTAAAACAATATCTGGATCATAAGAATATCAAGATAAAGGAGAGAAAGAGAAGAACACGGGAGTTTATATTGGTTTGATTCTTTCGAATCTACATCCAGATCCAACCAAGCAACCTTAGCTTGGATTTTTCATTAAAACTTGTTTAGAAATCAGATTACAACCTAATATACAAATCTTGATTACAACAATCTTTAATCAAAATATAAAAACAAATCAAAACACTTGAAAATTGTTTTCCTCACAATTTTCAAGCTAATTTGATGTAACTCACCTCACATACATAAGAATATAATAAAGATTCACAAAGAGAAAGATAAGAACGATTTCATCTTAGACTTTTGGAATACTGCATCCTATAGCCGAGTAATTTCTTCTTTGAATTTGATTTTCTTCAAAACGTTTTACAGACTTACAAACGTTTCCTTGATGCCCACAACGTTTCTTTTTAATGCTTTAATTATTTCTAAAAGATGTGTTTTAATTGAAGAAAGTTTACATCTTTTTATAGAGTCAAAATTTGTTGCAACTGATTCAGATAATCGATTAACAGAATATCTAATCGATTATTTGCATGCAATGATAGTCTGAAAGCCAATAATTGATTAGGTACAAACATAATCAATTATTAGCGCGTTATCTCAAAATAGATATTTAGGCACATAATCGATTAAGTGACCACATAAATAATTATTAGCGCATGTTATGAAAACATGAATTTAAGTCATATAATCGATTAAGTACTTATCTAATCGATTAATACAAATTAGTTTTAACATAATTGATTATTTTTTACTTTTTACCTTCTTTATTTTAACAAAGATTAGATTATTTAGCTTTACACATCTACTCACACAACTACCTAACTATCTTATAAGGACATCATCAAAAAGTGATTTTTCAAGCAATCTTCCTTCTTCATTAACAATCTCCCCATTTTTTTATGATGGTCAACCATCAAAGCATATAACATTTTTCAGCAGCCTTTTCAATAAACTCTTCTCCAACTAGCATAGCAAGCAATAACCCTTTCAATAACTCTTCTCCCCCTTTGGACTTAATAAAAAAGGTTAAACATAGAGTTGGAAGAGTAATAGCATAACCAAAAGCAAATATAATGTCATATGAAAAAAGTTATATCAAGTATCAGTAGTTACAAACCATCAAATTAATATGTCAAATATTACAATGCAGTAAAAAAATTGTTCAAGCAAATTTAAACATATGATTAAAGAAAGCATATCAATCATTCATCATCATTTGAAGATAGCTTAACTGTTCCATCATCTTTATCAACACTTCCTTCATCTTCCATTTCAATGCCACCTTGTTCTTGTTGTAATGTAGATAAAATAAAGGATACTTAATCATCCAAACTGTCAAATTTTGAGTAGTAATACTCATGCTTCTCCTGTTGCCAAAGATGTATGTTATATAATTTCTCTAACATACTCTGTTCAAAAGCAGAAAAATTACTTCTAGCAGAGGAGGTAGGAATGCTTGCACTTATGGGTTCTACTCAACAAATTCTTCCTCATCATTTCTCTTAACCATCCCCATGTGGTGAAGAGTAAATTTTCCTATTACATTTGCATGACTTGTGATGGTAGATGATTCTCCCTCCACATTTACACTAACATACTAAAAACCGCTTGAGAGAAAAACAAAATAAGGTAATGGATATGAAGGCACCCTATATGATTTCCTCATATTATCACTAACAATAGCAGGTCAATCAATTTGAAATCTTGATTTGGGAGCATGTATTATATACATGTCTTCAGAAGTTAGTTGAGCATGATTCTCCCCCTAGCAATAAGAACCTAAGTAATCACCAAAGTTAACAACCTTTCATCTTTTTTCATTTCACCAATTTTATAGATGGAATAATTTCTGGCAGTGTTTGGGTTCCTAAGACAAGATCTAAACACAGTTAGCTTATTAATGTTTTCAAAGCCACTAGTAACATTTTCTCCTCCTATTCTAAAACCTACAACATTTGTCTATATTTCCTCATCTAAGACTATTTCTACCCCTTTAACTCTAGATTGAATAACTTTATTGAAAGTTTTCAAATTTCAATAAAAAACTTTGACAAAGTTAGGGTAAAATATCCCATTCATCTCAATGAATTTTTCTAGGCCTTGATATACTAACAAATCTTGAAATAGAAAATCATTGTTTCTAAAAAATGATATAGAAATATACTTATGAGTAATGAGTCTTCTTTCTTTCTAGTTAATGAGAAACTCCTCCCTCTGTTCATCATCACTAACCTATCCTTCTGTAGAAGTAGTTCTTGGAAGTCTCTTGGAAGCTGTTCTCTTAATTTTTTTTTTGTTTTTATAGTGGAAGCCATTAGATTAGAGTAATAAGAAGATTTGGAAGAAAATGAGTAACAAGAGAATCCCTGTGAGCAATGGAGGCTAGGGTTTCGAAAGAGAGGCTTAAAGGAAGATGAGAAAGTGTGTAGATGAAGTTGGCAAAGTGTAATGTGCAAAGAATTTAATTGAAATAA